TATATATATATATATATATCTGTGTGTGTGTGTGTGTGTTTTGAAGAAGAATATGTTTCAGTGGAATGTTGGATCATTATCATAGTACTGCGACTTACCTTCATTTTAAATGGGTAAAATGACAATGTTTGTTAATTGGAAAAATATTACATCAGAACTCCTAAACGTAGAACTACGTTCGTAGTCCAATGAAATAACGTCACGTGGAGGTGACAGAAAAAAAAATCGTTTTAGCGCAATGGAATATTCCCTCTGTGTTTTCGTGTTCTGAGAATATTCCTAATGCAACACAATAACACAATAACACATTAATATCACCATAATAACAACCGAATAACGCGAAATAACACAAGAGGAATATTCTCCTGTGTTATCATATCGGATCACCAAAAAACATGTGTATTTCCTTGAAGTCACGTCCCCGCATATTAGTAGATTTCAAATCTAACTCTATTTTAAGACTCATGATGTAATATTTTTCCGTGTAATTGATCTCAATTGCTACCACGTAACCACTTCTTCGTGACCTAAGAAGTCTTCGTGCCATCGGTCAACGTTCCCACTTTGCCATACTTTCAAACTCCACGAAAATTGGAGGACGCAGCTTGAAATCACCGCATGGCTCACCCAAACAGTCACCCACTCTATCAAACAGAAAAGTGGCTCCGGGACCCGAAGACAGCTTGGTTGTTGACGGCGGTGCCTCCATCGTCGCTAGCGGCAAGCTCTTTTCTTCTTCTACAAGTCAGAGAAAACAAAATATTATTTCTTGCTTAAATATGTATTTATGATTTGTCTTTTCCAGACTTTCGGGAAAGGGTCCGACGCATGTTTTAGGCACACGCAGTCCAAATTCAATTTAAAAAGACCCTGCTTCTTAGAGCGGTCGGCAATTTCATCTCCTCTTCCTCTTCTTCTTCTTCTTCTCATCTTTCAAATAATTTCTCTTCCTTGTGAGGTTGTTTGTTGACCTTCAAAGCGTTCGATGGGGTTCACAACATTCTCAGAGCGGGCGGCGAGAGTCATTCGCCTCCCTGGATTTTACAAGTTTGCCGTTCTCGTTGCCGTCAGGTTCATACTTCCTCTTTCTGATCATTTCCTCTCCTTTATTCGGGAGCGTTGTAAGGTTTAAAAGAGCGAAGTGGAATGAAAATATCTATGCTTTAATTTGTTAGACTCACAGAAATGGCCGAGTAAAATTGTAGTTTGAATGACTTTAGATTGTATTCATTTTTCAATTTATCAATCTATGTATGATTTTAAACAAATTTAAAGCAAAATTTCAGGTCTATTTTTTTTTCCTCGAACAATCAAATAAGTGAAAAATATGTCTTTTTCCATTTGGTCTGTTTCAGTTCCTTGAAAACCAAACAATCTGACTCGCATGGATCCCAGGTTTTAGCCTTCGATCCGTCGCTTGCTGCTGCTCTTATTGGTTTTATATGTTCGGTATTAATTTCGGTAAATTCAGGAAGGAAAATTTTTTATCTCGTATCGGATGATGGCGTTTGCTTAATTGTATGTCCAGTTCTTGCTTTGGACGGGCGACTGGAAGATGTGATTTGGGCTCTGCTCACGTTGGACTTTTTTGCCTTTTGAGTTCATAGATGGCTAAGACAAAAGTGCTTCTATTTGATTTATGTATCATATACTTATTTTATTTGCTGTTTTATTCTTGTAACGGTGCAAAACTTTGTGCGAGTTTTCGGCCTTGTGTACGTTTTGGTTGGGCTGGGATGGCTCATGGTTGCTTAGCTATGGCGTTAGATTCACGCTGCTTTATGATTCGTGCTAATTGCAGAGTAGTAGAAATTTAAATGGACAGGTTATTACTTATTACTGTATGATAATTAATCAGAATCCTGCTCCACCAAGTGTATCCGAAGTAATTAATTTATACCACCAACATCATCTTTGTTCGCTAAGCTACTTTGCTGTTATTGGAAGTTCTATTACTTTGCTGTCTGCTCTTTGTTTTGTTGTTTCCTTGTAGACTGCGTTTGTCTGATAGATGGTTTTGTGTTTCTCAGTGGTGGGGCTGCAGTTGCATATGCTGATGCGAGATCCGATCCTGGATCTGAATATGCTGGAGCAGGATCCAAGAAGAAATTGGTTGTTCTTGGAACTGGCTGGGCTGGCACAAGTTTCTTAAAAAATTTGGACACTTCCTTGTATGATGTTAGGGTTGTTTCGCCTCGGAACTACTTTGCATTCACTCCTTTGCTGCCAAGTGTTACATGTGGAACCGTCGAGCCTCGTAGCATCGTCGAGCCTATTCGCAATATCATCAAAAAGGTATAAATATATCATCAAAATTGTTGGGTTTTTTTTTCCAGTTAAAATAGATATCATGGTTAGCAACCTAGAAAAAGAAGATGATTGTGGAACTTGTTTTCAAAACAGATGCTTGAAGAAGGAATTTATGAAATATGTGGTAAAACTATTGTATTTAATGGGTTTTTTATAATTGATTTGTTTACTTTTTCTTTTTTGTTTATGTCTTTATGTGTTCTAAGCCTCCTCTATAAAAGGAAATTTAGTACTTATGAGAGAGTTATGGTGAGAAGCGTTGAGTTGTAACCCCAAACCGTTTTTTTTTCTTTCTCATCCGGTGCTTATGAAATCTCCCTCCTTGAGGACGTAGGCAAATCGACTTAACGCCAAATAGCGTAAATCTTTTGTATTGATTGTTGTTGAATTTTTATGCTTTCGCATAACAATTGACATCAAAATTTTGGGTCCGTGATTGGAGCGTGGTTCGACACCGACGACAACAAAACCGGCATGTGCTGCCGGAGTTATTGTCAGCAGGTGAGCCGACATGTTTTGTCAGTAGATTCGCAGTTTCTGGCGGCTCTAACGAGGTCAAACACAGTCAAGTAGAGGCGCGGTTCAAGCCCATCCGACAGGCTTTGTTATGGGGCCTAACCTATTAAGTTGAGGTTAGGCGACGATGGAGCAGCTTTTCAGGCGGGTGCTGGGTCGCGTGGCTTCAGGCGGTGCAATAGCAAGGGCGAAAATATTATTAAAAAGAATAATATATTAAAAAGAATATCATTTTCAATCATAAACATCTCTTTTATTCTTGAAGGAGTGAACTGCACAAACCTGTCTCGCACGTAAATCATGCATTGGTTGATCCCATGAAGAATTGCAAAAAAATTCTTTTACTACAGAAACAACAAAAGGAGCAGTAGTGTAGCAAAACACTTCCCAACGCCTCTGCGCAATAGTCTCTTCTACTCGAGTATTCGAAGTGTTGAATCCATCTGTACTTGGGAAAAAAAATTTTCGACTCGGAATCTTTGATCCAAAGACTTGAGGGAATATATTCCCTTAATACCTTTACTCTTCAAACACGCGTCTTTTTCGAGAATAGTATTTTCTCAATGGTCAAAAGGTTTTCTATTTGAAGTATTTTTAAAGAGTTTCCAACTGTAAAAACAATGAATCACAGCACGGTGTCAGGTTCTTCAACGTTCACTATGACAGTGGAAAAGTAGATTCATCAGGTGGTCATGTATCCCGTCAAAATCGTTGTGACAAAATTTGATGACAAAGAAAACTTTGACATGTGACGATGCAAGGTGATGGATGCGTTGTGTTCTCTGAATTTAGAGGAAATCGTAGATATTTAGGAATGTCTTGAAGAAATGTCAGAGAGAGATTGGTTGAAGATGAATCATAGTACTTATAGCTTAATCCGAAATTACTTGACGCAAAAAATCAAGTTTGGGGTGATAATAGAGACTTCTGCAGAGAAATTGTGGAGGATGCTGGAGAACAAATCTCACAAAAAGTGTGAAGAATCGTCTCCATATGAAGCATCGATTTTATACATTTCAGATGAGACGAGGGTTACCTATTGATGAGCACTTAAATGACTTCACAAAGCTATTAGTATATTTGTTGAATTTGGATGAGGAGATTGGAGATGAAGAAAATGCGCTCATCATGCTGAATTCGCTTTCGAATAAGTACGAAAACATCACTATGGCATTCATTAATGAGAAGAAGGCCTTGAATTTAATAAAGTGATTACGACATTGTTGATTTACGATTTCTGTTGAAGGGATAAGGAGTCCGTAAAGATGAAATCAGTTGAGGCACTAACATTGCAACGTGGCAGATCTGAGAAGCAGAAGAATTGGGCAAAGAAAGGTGACAGCGAAGACATTTCTCAGAAGCAGGGCAGGTCTCGTGGACGCAATCTTAAAAAAAATCAATGTTTTTTCTATATAGAAACTAGTTATTGGAAGAAAGATTTACGAAGATGAAAGAAAAGGGAAATGAAGTTGCATCTGAGGTAAAAACCAATTTCATTGTGGAAAGGTGTGAAGAGGCGAATTCAGATGTATCATTATTAGCAGTTTTTCACAGTTTGTTTACAGATGATTCGTGTACGATTCTAGAAACAGGTGCTACCTATCACATTTGTTCTCATTGAGGATGATTTTGTATGTAATAGGAGCTAGATAATGGTGTAGTGTCTATGGGCAATAATCAAGTTTGTTGTATTGGTGTTGGGAGTATCTTTATCAGGATGCATGATGATACTGTGAATGAGTTAACTATGTTAAACATGTTCCAGATATCAAAAAAAATTTGCTGTCAGTTGGAGCTTTAGAGGGCTACAAGATAGTTGTGAGGCATGAGTTATAAGGATATATCGTGGAGCAATAATCTTTTTTAAAGGAAGTTCATCACAATATTTACTATCTTCAGGGAAGTACAGTGATTGGAATGACTACTATTGTTAATAATTCTTCTGATGTCACTATGTTGTGGCATATACAACTAGCTCATGCTAGAGAGGCTTCACTTCAAACTTTGATGATGAAATAATTGATCAAATGAGCAAGCACCTGCACGTTATATTTTTGTAAACGTTGTGTATTTGACAAGAAGATGGTTTTCTTTTGAGATTATCATCCACTATATAAAGATATTTTAGGGAATGCTAATATAGGTGTTTGGGGCTCAACGAAGACAACATCATTCAGCGGGCAGAGAGACTTTGTCTCTTTTTTTATGATTGCTCCAGTTATGTTTGGGTATACACCATGAAGCGCAAAAGTGAAATGTTGGAGATTTTCATAACTTAGAAGAAGTAAATTGAGATTCAGACTGGTAAAAAAATCTGGTGTATTAGATCAGACAGTGGGGGTGAATACACTTCAAATGTGTTCTTGTAAGAGTGATAGAGAGCTGGGATAGTGCACCACTTCACTATTTGAGAGACACCACAACAAAATGTAGTTATAGAGAGGATGAATCGAAATTTGGTGGAAAAAGTTCGATGTATGTTATTCAATGCTATGTTGGATAGAATCTATGCTGAGACATTAGAATATGTCTGTCATTTGGTGAACCGTCTGCCTTCTACAGCTATTGGGAAGAAGACCACAAAGGAGATGTAGTCAGAGCATCTTGCTTGAGATTATGAGCACATAAGAGTATTCGAATGTCCGGCTTAAAATCATGTGCAAAATAATAAACTTGAACCCCGAGCAAAAAAGACGTTCTTTTTGGCTTTAGGGGTGGAGTCAAGGGCTTCAAGCTATATGATCATTCAGAAAGGAAAATTATCATTAGCATGGATATTACATCCGACAAGGCAAGGTAGTTGAAAAATCAGGACTCAAAGCAAGTGGAGAGTTGAACCATAGATATGCAGCAGATGTTGGAGTTTGAAACAACTTCATTTGTTCCACAGAGTTCGTCCACTTCAACTTAATTATCTGATTTAATTGCAGCTCATGAGGTATTTGTTGATAAAGCTCAAGAGTAGGTGGAAGAAAATGTTGAGGTAAAATTCCTGCTTAGGAATCTATTGCTGGGAACAAAACTAGGCGTTAGGATATTAAAAAACCAACTTGGTTGAGGGATCATATTACAATTACACTTTCAGTCACATAGACATAAATTCCTTGTCAACAAAGAAGCAGTGAGTGCCCAGATTGTGAACTTTGGAGAGCGACAATAGATGAAGAGATTGAGTCTTTTCGAAAGAATGGTACTTAAAGATTAGTGAAGCTTCCTCTGGGAAGGAAAATCATCGGGTGCAAATCAATGTACGCAAAGAAGAAGGATCTCATGGAGCTGATGTGCGGTACAAGGCAAGATTAGTGGAAAAAGGCTTTGCACAATAAGGAGTGATTATGACAAAGTGTTTTCTCTATTATTAAGCATCCCTCAATCTGTGCTCTCTTAGCACTTGTAGCACGGTACGATATGAACTTGGAACAACTCAATGTGAAGACGACATTCCTACACTGACAATTACAATAGGAGATCTACATGTTGTCGTCGCCTGGATATGGAGCTTCAAAAGAATTGGCTTGCAAACTAAAAAGTTTTTATATGAGTTGAAGCAATCAACTCGACAGTGATAGCGGTATAAAAGATTTGATCAGGTCATGAGAGGACTCGACAGTGATAGCGGTATAAAAGATTTGATCAGTTCATGAGGGGACAGGATTACACGAAGACTCAGTATGATCATTGTGCATATTTTAAGAAGTTAACCAACAGTGAGTTCATTACTTGCTTCTAATATTGTCGATATGTTGATTGTATCAGCTAGTTATATTGAGGTTGACATTATGTAAAATCAACTGTCCATATATTTTGAAATGAAGGAGTTGGGTGAAGCTCGCAGAATTCTTGGCATGGAGATTTTCAGGGAGAAGTCAGTTGAAAAGGTTTAGCTTTCGCAATGAGCTTAAGTTTGAAAGGTGCTGAAGAAATTTGATTTTGATGACTCGAGCAAGGCGGTGAGTTTACACATTGCATCTCACAATCAGTTGAATTCATATCAGTGTCCTAAGATGATGAGGAAAGGAAACATATGCGACCAATTTCTTATGCAGTACAGTGCGCAGTCTGATGTATGTCATGGTTTATACTAGATTAAACATTGCACAAACAGTTAGTGTTGTGAGCAGGTTCATGCAGAATCCATGAAGGAGACATTGGTAGACTGTGAAAAGTATTCTGAGGTATCTGAAGGGTACAGTTGATGTTGACATGGTGTTTGAGAGGTAATCATCCAGTGCAGATTTATTTGTAGGCTACACTATCTCAAACTATGCAGGTAATATGGATAGGTAAGACCTACGACGGGTTATTTGTTCACATTGGCAGGAGGTCAAGTCAGTTGAAGGTCAGTTCTTTAGTTAACTGTTGTTTTGTATACTACAATGGTTGAGTACATGGTAGTCACGGAGGCGAGGAAGGAAGCAATTTGGATGCAGGGCCTATTGGATGACTTGGGAGTTGATCAGGAGCCTCTGAAGGTATTTTGTGACAATCAGAGTGCAATATTCTTGGTCACAAATGCAGTTCATCGTGCTCGTGCTCGTACCAAGCACATTGACCTTTTGCAGGAGTTTTGTGAATATCCGAGTACAGGACTGATTGCCCAGTCGAGCATTTTGAAAGACTGTGCAAACTTTGATCCCTTTGGGAGAGGGGATATGTAGGCAACCATATTAGTGTAGTTGTTTTAAATTTTGGAGCTCATTTGATCATCGCTCACATATCTGGAAGTAAGAGATGAGTTGATGTTGTTGTATTTAATATGTTTATTATAATTGTTTTGTTTACTTTTTTTAGTGCTAGATTAAAATATTGATTTAGTGTAACTTTTTCTTCTAGTCAATCAAAGTATAAGGAATTAAGTTGTCATATTTGAGTTATACGCTAGAGCATCTCATCCCACATCATGCCCTTCGTGATGGTGGGTGGATCCATTGAGGCCATATGCCTTGAATTTAGTGTTTTTAGAGATTTGTATTAGACAAGTAAATCTATATTGATTGCTTTGAGATTAATGTTAATAAAAATTTAAACTGAATTATCAGACTTATGTAAAAAGTTAGACATTAGCGTTGATGAGATTTGCTTTCGTGTCTATATCAATTTTGTTGTGCCTGAGTTCTATGGGAGTTAATTTGGCCATATTCTGACCTCATTATACGTAGATCGCTGAGTTCAATTCTTGATATTCCTGATCAATTAATCAAGAGCTATTATGTAGGGAAATATTAATTTCTCACTCATATTTTTTATTCTTTCGTAAAAGTTATGAAAATAATAAGTACTTATTTGAATGTTATCATAACATGGTAAATCACATATTATTTGCAATTTGAGGGTGATTTGATTGCTATTAATTTTATGTTTTGTAACGGATAATAAAAGATATTTCTTTTAATTTGCACTTTCGATGGAATTTTGACAACGCTTCCTTATGTCCTCTTTCGGATCTCTCTCTCTCTTTCTCTCTTTCTCTTAATACCTATTTTCTCTTTATTTTTGTCATTAATAACCAATGGCGTTGCATAATGTGTAAGCAATATAACCGATGGAGAAGTTCGTGATGAAGCTCCATAAAGTTTGAAAGCATAAAAGCTAGTTAAGAATCAAAGTCATTTGAAGAATAGATAATAAGCCATTTAAAGAGCGGGAAACAAAACCATTGGTTATGGAGGAACATAATGTTGTCTAGAAGATGATATTGACAATGAAGCATGCATTGAAGCTTGTAAAGACTAAAGGGGTATGAAAAATGTCATCTAAATAGCAGTCATAGAAGCTATATAAAGAGTTGCAGGTGATAATCCCTATTGAGCATAGACGACAACTACAATTGAGGAGTGGACTTCGAACTTGAGCGGTGAATGCAGACAATGAATTTTGGCCTCCATGTCCTTTGGAGGTTGGTAATTGAATAGGTTGAGGCCGTACCACTCTCGACTTTACTTTGGAAGTGTCGGTTGAAGTACTTTGAGGGATGTGAGTATTACTTACCACATTACAACATTAAATGCAAAGACTTTGATGAGATTTCTTTCTTGAGTGATGAGCCTATAGTTGCTCCCTAGTACTTAATGAAGCATTGAAGAGTTCATTGAAGTCAATGATAGTTGAAATCTTGGGTGGTTGAAGCAAAGATGGTAATTTTTTATGGGTTCTTAATAAAGAGAGATAGAGTTATGCTTGGAGATGCACATAAATTAGTATAAATTATGTCAGTTAAGTGATATCGATGACTTCTTACAGATGACTTGAAATTGTTGAGCCCAAAATTTTACTTTGTTTTATTAAAGTTTTGGTGGAACGATTATCTCGAGTCTAATATTGTGTATTGTAGCATACAAACAACTATAGTAAAAATACAGTGTACCAATCTTGAGATTTTGTCCTCGGGAAGGTCTTTTGACAATCAAATTAGTAAGCAATATTGAAGGAGTAAGCTAAAACTAATTCAATAAGAGTTTCCTTAGAAATGGAGGAGTAGGTTCTCTTAGCGAGTTCCTTGCCTTATTGCCTTGGGTGTTTATAAGCATTTGAATGAAGGATATTTTAATACTATTATAAAGCTTACGGTCGGTATACAAACTATGTTATATTTGAGATTAACGTTAGACCAAAACGCCCCTCAATTGAGTGTATTTTAGTCATCTAGATGATTAGAGGGTGAAGCACCGACTTATATATGCTTTGAGGTCTGTGTTGGGCCATATTTTTCTTGCCTAGAGATTAGTGTTATAGATAATTTGAATCGAACAGTCAAGCATATAATGGCTGCTCTAAGATTGATGTTAGCGGTGTTGTAAATTGGATGGTTGAATCTATGTCAGGTCATGTTATATTTAAAGATTGTTGTGGGGAAATCAATTGTATATGACTTTTAATTTCTTTGATCAAGCGGTATGTATATATATATATGATAAATAATTGATATATATATATGGCTCACTCACTTTAATCAGGCTACATGAGGTTTCAACACAAGTACTAAGAAATCATACTTTAAGTTTGAATTTTCTTGGGGGGCACAGCATATTACTCAAGAAAGAATAAAAAAGAGCAATGCTTCTTGCACCCAAAAAGTAACATTGTGTCAACAGATTTATTTCCTGTTGACTGTTATATACTAGAGATAGTGTCATATGAAGAGGAGGTGGGCAATAATATATTTATAGAAATGATGTTAGTTATCTTTACCCTTTTTTCCCTCTGTAGAAGTGATATTGCACAATATTATGGATCATTAAGAAATTGGTTGTCTCCACATATGTGGTTGCAATTCTTGCAATCTTCATTAAAAAACAATGCTACTTACCCAGTTTTTATTTCTCACGATATTTCATCACTTCTATTTTCTCCCAGTGTTATATTTGGAAACAATTCTTGATTGAGAATTGTAATTTCATTATTTTATGATTGTCCAGAAAACCGGACCTGTCAATTTTTTTGAGGCTGAATGCTATAAGATTGATCCTACAAACAAGAAAGTGCTGTGTAGATCTAACGTTGGAACAAACTTGGATGGCAACGGTGAATTTGAGCTAGATTATGACTATTTGGTGATTGGCCTTGGAGCTAGGTCTAATACATTCAACACTCCTGGTGTCTCTGACCACTGTCATTTTTTAAAGGTACGTTCCTTCTCTAGCTGCAAGAAATAGGTGAAAGTTAATGCTATGACATGCCTGTGTGTTCCTGAACAAATATTGTATTATTAGCTGAAAGTTAATTACCTCTTGTTGTAGAATTTGACTTTAAAATGAAAGCTTTGGCAGGAAGTTGAAGATGCTCAAAAAATCCGTAGAAGCGTGATGAATTGCTTTGAGAAAGCAAGCCTGCCAAACCTGGATGAAGAAGAAAGGAAGAAGAATCTTCATTTTGTGGTAATTGGAGGTGGTCCAACTGGTGTTGAATTTGCTGCAGAGCTTCATGATTTTGTCAAAGAAGATTTGTCCAAGTTATACCCTAATGCTCTCGAATTGGTGAAGATATCATTGATTGAAGCAGGGGAACATATCTTGACCATGTAAGTGAATGCATTTATTTATTTTTGATATATTTATGTTTTTTCATGCAACCCTCAATCATTTTATCAGGGGAGAAGATAGAACTTGTATCAATTACTCGGTCTTTTGAATTATTTTACTTATAGTCAAAGAGGGTTTCCAGATTCTGCTTCTCATTGTGTTTCCTTGAGTAGGTTTGACAAGAGGATCACTCAATTTGCTGAGGAAAAGTTTGGCAGGGACGGCATCGATGTAAAAACAAACTTTAAAGTTGTTAAAGTGTCAGGTGAGGCCATTACAATGACAAACTCTTCCATCGGAGAGGTTAATGTACCATATGGAATGGCTGTTTGGTCTACTGGCATTGGTACTCGCCCTATAATTTTGGACTTGATGAAGCAAATTGATCAGGTAATTCTATTGGGGCCATCCTCTGAACTCATTTCCACATTGTTTTTGGAATTTATTTTATGGCCATTCCTCGATGGAGGGCAAGTCTTTTTATCACCACTTTCTTTTGGTTTGCAGGGTAATAGACGTGTCTTAGCAACTGATGAATGGCTGAGAGTCCTTGGATGTGAGAATATATATGCGCTTGGTGATTGTGCCACAATAGTCCAAAGAAAAGTTATGGTATGCTTCTGGACTTCAACTAAAGTCATCATTTTGATCTCTACTAAATGCAGTTGTAGTGCTTATTATGTTATGCCAATATCATTTCAGGAAGATATCTCAGCAATTTTTAAGGTGGCGGACAAAGATAATTCTGGCACTTTAACCGTTAAAGAAATCAAAGATGTTTTAGAAGACGTTATTGAAAGGTATCCTCAGGTAGCGCTGTATTTGAAAACGAAACAAATGAAGGATATGTCAGATCTGCTGAAAGAGTCTGAAGGTGATGTTGTAAAAGAATCTGTCGAACTCGACATAGAAGGTTTCAAAAAGGCTCTTTCTCAAGTGGACTCGCAGGTCAAAGCACTCCCTGCCACAGCCCAGGTTCAAAGCTTGCAATTCAAACAATCCCATCAATTCTATTATATCTTTCCTTTTTCATTATATATATTGTTGCTTTCCAGGTTGCAGCACAGGAAGGAGAGTATCTTGCTAGGTGCTTCAACAAAATGATGATTAGTGAAGAGGAATCAGAAGGCCCTATTCGTATTCGAGGAGAAGGTCGCCATCGTTTCAAGCCCTTCAGGTATAGGCATCTGGGACAATTTGCTCCGTTAGGCGGAGAGCAGACGGCTGCACAGCTTCCCGGCGATTGGATATCCATAGGCCACAGCAGTCAATGGCTCTGGTACTCTGTGTATGCAAGGTACTTCTTTTAGCACACAAGGACATTCCAAACATCATATAATATAACTCATCTTGCTCTTTTTTTTTTTTTTTTCGGTTGTCAGTAGCTCTTGACCTTCAATTTGGTCTAAAACTTATGCTTAATCTGTGTAGCAAGCAAGTAAGTTGGCGCACGAGGTTCCTGGTAGTGTCTGACTGGATGAGAAGATTCATTTTTGGGAGGGATTCCAGTTGCATCTAGAAAGCTTCGCAAGCCCACATTCCATTGAATTCTTCACCATTTTTGCGGTGGCAACACTTTTCTTTAAAATTCTAATTCATTTTTTATGGCAGCAAGTTATATGAACTTTTTTGACCAATCGGTTGTAATAAAAATGTGCCACTGAAACATGGCACCTCTTGAAACATTCATAAATATCAAAAACATTGTATTTTTATTTTTATTTTTATTTTATTTAGGGGCAATTACATACATAGCAACCAAACATTGTTATTTACAAATCTAGCACCATTTTTACAAGTACATTATTTGTCCAAATAATCTTAAATTTGATTATGAAAGTTTTAAATTTAATGACTTTTTTTTATTTTGTTCTGTGTGGCTTGGTTTAGAACGAAGAGCATCATTGATACCCTTGTCCGAGTTCATTTTGTTTTGGATAGCTTTAATCGTGTTTTATTTTATAAAAGCATTTCCCTAATAAATAATTAAGCAACAACATAAACATTAGAGAAGCTTAAAAAAAGTTTTAAATATATTTTTGAATGCTTTTTATTCATATTTTAACGTCTTTGTTGGGGTTTTGATGACTACAATTTATTTTGACGAATTATGGGTTCAAATCATGAATATTATCTTTCGAGTCACTTTTCACGAAAAAAAAGTATTTTCAAAACTTTAAATGTATAATAGTTTTTTATGTAATTAAACTTAAATATTAGTAGATAATAATCTTTAAACATAATAATACATTCAGTAAAAATAGTTTGCTCGTTTTAATTTGGATTAAGACTTATAGGTGAGGTAATTTGACTGAAATTTGAATTTGCTCATTTTAATTTGGATTCATTTACTTTTGACTGCGCTTAGTTTCAGTTTGGTGTTCATTTGTTTATCCTTAAGGTCTGGTCGGGGCTTATAGACTAATTGTTGAGAAATCACGCTAATAATCACAAGAATATGAAGAAACAAAAGAACATAGGGATTTAACGAGGTTCGACAATGTGCCTAAATCATCAGGAGCAAATAGCGGCGGCTTTCGATTTCTTGAAGCAAAGTTCTACCCTATTATATATATATATATAAGAGGATC